GGGAGAGGCCGGGAAAGAGGCTGGAGCGTCTTCACGGAGGTCAGACACTTGGGAAAGGGATGAGGCGGCTCTGAGCAGGGTCGCTCAGGAGCTCCTTCTCTGGGGTTTTTAATTCAGCCTCGTCCAGCGTCAACACCACTGAGACGCTTCTTGGGTTTCTTTCAAAACCTGCAGCGGCTTAAAATGTTTACAAACACTCCTGCCAAAATCTCTGACACTTTCGCAACTTCGTGTTTACTTGATCAGCAGTGCAACAGGCATGAACCCGCACCTTCCACTGAGCATGAAGAGTCCTGGCTCTACATCCTGATGGAGATGATCAGTGGAAAACAAGGACGTGCAATAAACAATTTACAACCCCTCCAAACAACAAAAAAGCCCTTGATCTTGCAATCTGCTGTTTGCCAGAGTTAGATATTTATAGGCAGAGACATGAATGAGGTGAAAGATGGAGCCTACACCAGCCCAGCAAAGCCCATCCCATGCCATGGTGCTGGGCGTTTGGGGCTGTTGGGAGCCCAGTCCTGTAGCTCCGAGCGCTCACAGGTCACCACGACCCGAGGCTGGAGCAGTCACGCCCAGTTCTCAAAGCCGTGCCCACGCATCCCTGAACGTCACCGCACGTTCAAGAATGCCACTGCCCGAGGGTCTCGGTCGTCAGGCAGGAAGCGCGAGCTGTGCACTAAGCGCAGAGCCGCCGATCGCGCCACGGGCAGCGCCAGTCCTGTAGCTCCGAGCGCTCACAGGTCACCACGACCCGAGGCTGGAGCAGTCACGCCCAGTTCTCAAAGCCGTGCCCACGCATCCCTGAACGTCACCGCACGTTCAAGAATGCCACTGCCCGAGGGTCTCGGTCGTCAGGCAGGAAGCGCGAGCTGTGCACTAAGCGCAGAGCCGCCGATCGCGCCACGGGCAGCGAGACAAGCTGCCGGCGAAGCGTCGCTCTTCTGTGTGACCCCACAGGTAACGTGTGTGCGCCTAAGATGCAAGAAATAGCATTTTCTGCCTTCTTCCTCTGGCAAAACACCCCCCAGAAGCTCACCCCCACACTGTCTGCTGAAGGAAGGTCTCCCTCCTCCTCCCCCACGCAATTCTGCAGCTCCTGTGTGTTGCGGGGTGAGCAGCACCACTTCCCGGGCGGCCTGGGTCCTGCAGTGACGAGTGGGAAGGATCAGCCCCACGCAGTGCTCCGTGCCACCGGCCTGCCACGCAGAACGGGAATACCCTCACTCCCCCAGACTCCCTGAGCCAAGGCCAAGAGGCCTGTTGGCAGGTCTGTCCCAAACAACTTACTGACGCTCGTGGCTGCTTGTGCTGGGGCCGGTGTCTGGCCAAGTACAAAGGACAAGGAAAAGCTGGGCACTGCAGCGACCTCGGCCAAAAAACACGAATTTAGCAGAACGAATTACAGAGGCACACAGAGCACCCAGAGCCAGACAGAGGCCTCTGAAGGCAGCACCTCACCTGATCATCAGGGTGACTCTACCTTCTCTTCTACACCTCCTGCTTTTGGGGGGGGGTCCATAAAAGAGCACAAAGGCAGAGATTTTAGGCTTGTGGTTAATCTGGAATAAGACCAAAGCTACAACACACCACATAGGGAATTAGGTAAACTCTCTGAATTAGGTTTCTTGGTGAAGAAGAAAAGATTTCCCCATCACACACTTCGTATCTAGAACCTGCGCTGCAGGAACAGACAGCAGCTCGGCAGCAGAGGGAGAAGCTGGCCAAGTGCTTTAGCCTTGTGCTACAGGAAGCAGAGCTGGAGACGCTGCCAAGCGGAGTGCCCCAGGGTGTGCCCTACTCCCTGCGTGTGCCACAGCACACCAGCCAGTTACGTTTTACCTCAGCCTCTTGGCAGCGACCTAAACTCAGAACGCGTTTCCTCCTCTCCGCAGCACAGGCAGGGAACCCCTTCGGGGGCTCCACACTGCTCTCGAGAGGCCAGAGCCCACTGAACCCTTCCACAGGCCACGCTGCAGAAGCTCGGCAGGCAGCCCTGTTCCAGAACCTGCCCTCACGACACAGCAGCATCTGAGCACGGCTTGTTGAAACAGCGCTAACTCACCAGCAGGAGCCCGGGTCCCTTGCTACCTCCTCCGTCAGGCTTTGGGGAGTTGTTTAATCCCATGGGGCTCAGTTCCCAACTGTGGGACAGAGATAAGAGCACAGGCGTGCTCTGCATGTACAGATTTGGGAGGGCTTCAGCCTGAGCACTGTTTTTTAGCCCCTGCCAGGAGAAGCTTCCAAGCATGTGGCCCCTAGATACCCCACAGTCACGCTCATAGCTGGCTACAGCTTCTGTCACCGTGTGAGCAAAATGCAGCCGCAGCAGCAACGCTGACGGAACCCCATGCCGCAGAGCTGGCGGCAGCGTGCCCAGACCCAGGGCTACGTGCTGCTCCAGCGCTCGGCCACACCAGCACGCCTGCGAGCCAGGCCAACCGCGGGAAGAGAGGGCAACTCCGGCAGCAAGCATGAGGGAGAACAAGGCTGTGAGAGGCCAGCTCTTTACTGCCAGGAGACTTCAGGGGAAGCTGAAGGACTCTCAGAAACTCAAGCTCAGCAATACTGCACTGCCAATTCTCCCCTGCACTGCCAATTCTCCCCCCGAGGCCATCTTTTGTTTCCCAGGATTTTAGGATAACACACAAAGTAGTATTTTAACACCTCAGAGAGGGAGGGAATGTGGTGCTCCCAAGCACCTCACACACCTGCTGTGCTGAGTCAAGTACCTCCACCTGGCCAAGTCTCTCCTGCTTCTATCGCCTTTTAAAACTATGGAGAGATTTTAGAAGTTATCCAAATCACACAGAGCCAAGGAAATCTTCACACGGTCGGTGACGTGGAGAGTCACTGGCAGGTGACATGAAGATTATGTTTTCAGGAGAGCAGGACTGCATCCAGCTGCAGTTGGCTGGATGCAACAGCAGTGCTGCCTGGAGGTATTAGATTAATAGATAGGGAAATAGATTAATAAACTTAAAGTAACTTCCTTTATTAGATTTCTTCAAGCACCACGTATAAAAAGAATCTTGACACATAATATTTGTAACACACGGTGGAACGATCCGCTCATTGGCAACGAGGCTTTGCAGACATACAAAAAGACAACCCTCTGGGGCTCTCGATTCCCCTGTTGTGCTGCTTCTACCACTTGCCACCCCATGAGCTACTTCAGCTGCAGGCAGCTCACACCCTCCGCGGTTCGGCGTGAGCCGACCCGGCAGCGCCGCCTCACAAGACACAGGTAAGTCGCCGCAAGGAGCGGCCACAAGGCACGTCGGGACCGTGCTGCCCGAGTGTAGTGTAGAAACCGAAATACAAAAATAAATAAATCAAACACAAACTGGTTCTAGTTTCCTTCTCCTCTAACAAGAGGCAACGTAAGTAGAGCCCCATAGTTGAGCTCTTCTCTCCCAATGGGGAGCTTGCGCACAGCGAACAAGTCGCAGTAGTAAGACCCTAGAATCCCTGCCACCAACAGCGCTGGCACTGCCACGCGTCACGCCTCTTCAGGGCGCTCCTGTTCTCCGGAAAAAGTCTTCTACCGCCTTGTCAAAACTCTGAGCGGAGAATTGCTTTAGGACATGTAAGGGAGTGAGTAAGTACTGCTGAGCCAAACCAGTTGGCAAGTGCCTGTCGGACACAGATGCCTGGCTGCCAGCGCTACCTGCCCTCGCTGCGCCCAGCTGTTCGCTCGGCTCCTCCTGCCCCCCCTCCTCCCGCCTGCCCTCCTCCCGCCTGCCCGCGTGACAAGCGCAGCCTTCTCTGGAGCACAAAGCTGACTCGCAGCGGTTCTGCCGAGGAACCTCAACACCCGCCAACTCTTCAGACGCATCAGTGCATTTCTCAGGGGACTCGTAGACGACTCCTCGGGACACAGAGAGCTGGGCAGCTCTTTTCGTGACACACGTGGGTTTGCACCCCCTCCGTTTGCGTTTCCGACATGCAGTCTCTTGCACAGGCTTTGGGATTTCCAGGTTGGGAAGTGCCTGGGGAGCAGAACTTAAGTATTCTTGGAAGTAATCCTGGCACATGCTGCCCTTCACAATTGGGATGACCGAGCAGGGTTTCAGCCACTTCACGAACTCACACAGCTCTGAAAAGGATGAGTGGTCTGAGTATGGAATGGGGTGGATGTTGGGGTGGGTGACCTTTACGGGCCTGCCGGTTGGGAGGATGGCGATGGTAGGGTACAGCGCGTTCCAGCTGACGAGGTTATCGTGACAGATCTCAGCAACATCCACGGCACGGATCCAGCCGGCCCCCTCCTCAGTGGTGAAAACGTCGGGCAGCTCCAGCAGCTGCATCTGTTCCAGGCGCCAAGGGCTCACCACCACCCAGGTGCCGAACTCCATGGCCAGGTTCACCAGCAGCGCCTCCTTCCCAAGCCAGT